CAGCATAGTTCACCTACCACAGCATAGTTCACTGCCAGCATAGTTCACTGGCACAGCATAGTTCACTGGCACAGCATAGTTCACTGGCACAGCATAGTTCACTGAGGCACATGCACATAGTTCACTGGCACAGCATAGTTCACTGGCACAGCATAGTTCACTGGCACAGCATAGTTCACTGGCACAGCATAGTTCACTGGCACAGCATAGTTCACTGGCACAGCATAGTTCACTGGCACAGCATAGTTCACTGGCACAGCATAGTTCACTACCACAGCATAGTTCACTGGCACAGCATAGTTCACTGGCACAGCATAGTTCACTGGCACAGCATAGTTCACTGGCACAGCATAGTTCACTGGCACAGCATAGTTCACTGGCACAGCATAGTTCACTGGCACAGCATAGTTCACTACCACAGCATAGTTCACTGGCACAGCATAGTTCACTGGCACAGCATAGTTCACTGGCACAGCATAGTTCACTGGCACAGCATAGTTCATGGCACGATAGTTCATCACAGCATAGTTCACTGGCACAGCATAGTTCACTGGCACAGTCATAGTTCACTGGCACTCAGCATAGTTCACTGGCACAGCATAGTTCACTGGCCATCACTGCAATAGTTCACTGGCACAGCATAGTTCACTCACAGCATACGTTCACTCCACAGCAATAGTTCACTGGCCACAGCATAGTTCACTGCACAGCTAGTTCACCACAGCATAGTTCACTGCACAGCATAGTCACTGCACAGCACACTAGTTCACTGGCACAGATAGTTCACTACCACAGCATAGATACGCTTCACTACATTCATGCAAGCTAGTTTCATTCTCACGCATATTCACTGCACACATGTTCACCACACACAAAGCGTTCACTGCCACAACATAACGCTTTCACGCACAGCATAGTTCACTGGACACAATATGACGCTGTTCACTAGCACAGACTAGTTCACTCCACACAATAGTTCACTCACACAATACGACAGCATATTCACGGCACAGCATAACGTTCACGCCACAGCATAGTTACGGCACAGCATAGTATACGTGTTCACTACACAGATGTTCACCACAGCATAGTTCACTGGCACACAAATACGTTCACAGCACAGCAAGTTCACACAGCAATAGTTCACCACAGCATTCACACAAAGTTCACTGCACCATATTCACGTCACCCACACATAGTTCTCACACTAGTTCATCACACGTTCACAGTTCATCACAATACGTTCACACCACAATAGTTCAACAACCTCACACATAGTTCACTGGCACACAAACGTTCACTGCACACAATTACAAAAAGTTCACCCACACAAACGTTCACCCACACAAACGTTCACACCACCAACAAGTTCACACCACACAAACGTTCACCCACACAAACGTTCACCCACACAAACGTTCACCCACACAAACGTTCACCCACACAAACGTTCACACCACAAACGTTCACCCACACAAACGTTCACCCACACAAACGTTCACACCACAAACGTTCACCACACAAACGTTCACCCACACAAACGTTCACACACAAACGTTCACACCACCACAAACGTTCACCCACACAAACGTTCACACCACAAACGTTCACCCACACAAACGTTCACACCACAAACGTTCACAACAAACGTTCACCCACACAAACGTTCACACCACAAACGTTCACACCACAAACGTTCACACACAAACGTTCACCACCACAAACGTTCACCCACACAAACGTTCACCCACACAAACGTTCACCCACACAAACGTTCACACCAACACACAAAACGTTCACACCACAAAACGTTCACACACACAAACGTCAATCACCCACACAAACGTTCACCCACACAAACGTTCACACACACGTCACACCACAAAACGTTCACACCACAAACGTTCACCCACACAAACGTTCACCCACACAAACGTTCACCCACACAAACGTTCACACCACAAACGTTCACCCACACAAACCCCCCCAAGTTCACCACACAAACGTTCAACCACAAAACGTTCACACCACAAACGTTCAACACAAACGTTCACACCACAAACGTTCACCCAACACACAAACGTTCACCCAAACGTCAACACAAACGTTCACCACACACCAAAACGTTCACCCACACAAACGTTCACACCACAAACGTTCACACCACAAACGTTCACACAAACGTTCACCCACACAAACGTTCACCCACACAAACGTTCACCCACACAAACGTTCACCCACACAAACGTTCACCCACACAAACGTTCACCCACACAAACGTTCACCCACACAAACGTTCACCCACAAAGTACAAACGTTCACACACAAACGTTCACCCACAAACGTTCACCAACGTCACACAAAACGTTCACCCACACAAACGTTCACACACAAACGTTCACACACAAACGTTCACCCACACAAACGTTCACACCACAAACGTTCCCACAAAACGTTCCACAAACGTTCACACCACAAAACGTTCACACCACAAACGTTCACCCACACAAACGTTCACCCCACAAACGTTCACACCACAAACGTTCACACCACAAACGTTCACCCACACAAACGTTCACCCACACAAACGTTCACACCACAAACGTTCACACCACAAACGTTCACACCACAAACGTTCACACCACAAACGTTCACACCACAAACGTTCACACCACAAACGTTCACCACACAAACGTTCACACACAAACGTTACACAAAACGTTCACACCACAAACGTTCACACCACAAACGTTCACACCACAAACGTTCACACACAAACGTTCACACCACAAACTTACCCCAAAGTTCACACCACAAACGTTCACACCACAAACGTTCACCCACAAACGTCACACACAACGTTCACACCACAAACGTTCACACACAACGTTCACCACAAACGTTCACACCACAAACGTTCACACCACAAACGTTCACACCACAAACGTTCACCCACACAAACGTTCACACCACAAACGTTCACACCACAAACGTTCCACACACAAGTTACAAAACGTTCAACAACGCACAAAACGTTCACAAACGTCAAAAACGTTCACTCAAAACGTACACAAAACGTTCACACCACAAACGTTCACAACAACGTTACAAAAAACGTTCACACCACAAACGTTCGCACACAAACGTTCAAAAAACGTTACAAGAAAACGTTGCCAAAAAACGTTGCAACAATAACGTTCAAACAAACGTTCAAGAATAACGTTGCAAAAAACGTTGCAAGAATAAACGTTGCAAGAATAACGTTGCAAGAATAAACGCAAGATAACGTTGCAAGAATAACGTTGCAAGAATAACGTTGCAAGAATAACGTTGCAAGAATAACGTTGCAAGAATAACGTTGCAAGAATAACGTTGCAAGAATAACGTTGCAAGAATAACGTTGCAAGAATAACGTTGCAAGAATAACGTTGCAAGAATAACGTTGCAACAGTAATAGAGGTGAGCCAAGACCTTCATTATTTATCCGTCAACGTAATACAAGCAAAACTAATAAACATAATCCAATAGCTGTTTATATAAACCTATTTCGTGGGGGTTACCTATTTCGTGGGGTTACCTATTTCGTGGGGGTTACCTATTTCTAGTTAGCTTATTACCTATTTTTTCGTTAAATATTTCTCGTTAGTCTTGTCATTATCTATTTGTCGCTATTTCTAGTCATTACCTATTTATTACCTATTTCTCGTTTAGTTGTCATTACCTATTGCTTTTTCTCATTAGCTATTCAATACCTATTTCTCGTTACCCATTTTTGGCTGCTTATTTGTGAGTTACCTATTCGTGATTAAGGGCTATCTATTCATTACCAATTCGTGGTTACCTACGTGATTATTCATGGTTGTATATCATTACCTATTTCTCATTACCTATTTGTAGTTACCTATTGTAGTTACCTATTTGTAGTTACCTATTTGTGATTGCCTAGTGTAGTTAGGAGGTGGGAGTGAGGATTAGGGGGATGGGGAGAAGGGAGGGGAAGAAAAATGGTGGGGGGAGGGAGAAAAGGTAGGAGAGGGAGAGAAGAGTGGGAAAGGGAGGGTAAAGGGGGGAGATAGAAGAATGGGAGAGAGGGGGGAGAATCTTTTACAATCTCATTTACAGAATGCTATTCAGACATACTCCGTTAGAATAAAGAGAACAGGCAGGGATTCGAACCGTAGTCCTTGCATGTAGCAGGCCCACCGTTGTACCACTCAGCCCTTTTCTAACATCAAACATCACACATAGCCCCTTTCTAACATTACCAAACATCACACTTAGCTCCCTTTCTAACAATACCAAAAATCACACACAGCCCCTTTCTAACATTACCAAACATCACACTTAGCTCCCTTTCTAACAATACCAAAAATCACACACAGCCCCTTTCTAACATTACCAAACATCACACTTAGCTCCCTTTCTAACAATACCAAACATCACACTAAGCCCTTTCTAACATTACCAAACATCACACTTAGCTCCTTTCTAACAATACCAAAAATCACACACAGCCCCTTTCTAACATTACCAAACATCACACTAAGCCCCTTTCTAACATTACCAAACATCACACTTAGCTCCCTTTCTAACAATACCAAAAATCACACACAGCCCCTTTCTAACATTACCAAACATCACACTAAGCCCCTTTCTAACATTAAAAACATCAAACTATCATCAACTTGTTACTGTCATCAATACACTATCCCATCAATTATAACAACACAAGGCAAAATATTAATTTTCCATCACATTCAGTTATCTATAACACCTTCAATGTCACCGTTCAAGTTAGCAAAATTAAGACAAATGGGAAAATATCCCAACTGTTTATGCAGGCGGTAGTAAGCGATACAGTGATCAATAATTTCCCATAAACAATGATTCGTAAATTACGAGAACGAACGTTACACATTATTATTATTATAATCAAAAAGAAGCGCTAAGCCACAAGGACTATACAACGAACGTTACACAACTTTGAAAAATTCACTTACCCGATGAAGAAACACCTGTCGCACTAACCGGTGTCCCGTATGTGATTAGTCTGAGGTGTAAAGAGAGATGATGACCTAATATCACCAGGTCTCTCACATACCACAACATTTTCACTAGCAAGAAATACATTACGGTACACATTACGGTACACACTATGGTACATAGTATGTTACATATTGGTGGTACACACTACCCACGCCAGTCGAGAGTACTTTAGTGCCTATAATTCTATCAGTTAACACGGATAAAACTGTTTTAATAACAAGAGTCACAGAGAACAACCAGACGTGACGGCGGCCAAGCCAGCAGTAAGCAGTTCTCTGCTTCACTGTGTTGGTCAGGGGTTTGAAGCCTCTCGACTACATTGTGCTCATTGAGGCTTCATATAATTCACCGCCTGTCAAGAATACTTCTAATTCCTAAAATAGAGATTAAATTCTCAGCGTACATACACTGAGAAATACACTGAGAAAAATACACATCTCGGTGTATATATCCTGTGAGCTGACTGTCTCACATACTGTATTATTCTGAAGAATTTTGTATTACTCGTCCCAGACCAGGACTTCTTAGTGGAGCTTTTTGCATTTAGTGATAACTCAGCTGAATTGGAGTCTTGGACGTATACAGCTCCTGGACCCGACCCTGGAGGCAAACAGGTCCTTGGCACGACACTGGAAGAAATACAGCTCTTGGACCTGACAGTGGAGGCACGACTCGGGATGAATACAGCTCCTGGACCCTACCCTGGACGTATACAGCTCCTGCACCTGACCTTGAAGACAAACAGGTCCTTGGCACGACCCTGGATGAATACAACTCCTGGACCCGACCCTGGATGAATACAACTCCTGGACCCGGCCCTGGAAGCATACAGGTCCTTGGCACGACCCTGGATAAATACAGCTCCTGGACCTTACCCTGAACGTATACAGCTCCTGAACCTGACCTTGAAGACAAGACACTGACACAACCCTTGATGCATTCAGCTCCGGGACCTGACCCTGGAGGCAAACAGGTCTTTGGCACGAACCTGGGTGCATACAGCTCCTGGGCCCGTCGCCTTAATCCAATGTATCTGATGAGAGTAGCTTGGCGATAAAGTTACGCTGATTCTGACGTAATTTATACGTAACGGGATCAACCTTTGAGCATGTCCTCTCTGCTGTCTCCACCTCCACTCTTTCTTCCTTCTTGGAGCATGCTGTCCTCTCTGCTGTCTTCACCTCCACTCTTTCTTCCTTCTTGGAGCATGCTGTCCTCTCTGCTGTCTTCACCTCCACTCTTTCTTCCTTCTTGGAGCATGCTGTCCTCTCTGCTGTCTTCACCTCCACTCTTTCTTCCTTCTTGGAGCATGTTGTCCTCTCTGCTGTCTTCACCTCCACTCTTTCTTCCTTCTTGGAGCATGTTGTCCTCTCTGCTGTCTTCACCTCCACTCTTTCTTCCTTCTTGGAGCATGTTGTCCTCTCTGCTGTCTTCACCTCCACTCTTTCTTCCTTCTTGGAGCATGCTGTCCTCTCTGCTGTCTTCACCTCCACTCTTTCTTCCTTCTTGGAGCATGCTATCCTCTCTGCTGTCTTCACCTCCACTCTTTCTTCCTTCTTGGAGCATGCTGTCCTCTCTGCTGTCTTCACCTCCACTCTTTCTTCCTTCTTGGATCATGCTGTCCTCTCTGCTGTCTTCACCTCCACTCTTTCTTCCTTCTTGGAGCATGCTGTCCTCTCTGCTGTCTTCACCTCCACTCTTTCTTCCTTCTTGGATCATGCTGTCCTCTCTGCTGTCTTCACCTCCACTCTTTCTTCCTTCTTGGAGCATGTTGTCCTCTCTGCTGTCTTCACCTCCACTCTTTCTTCCTTCTTGGAGCATGCTGTCCTCTCTGCTGTCTTCACCTCCACTCTTTCTTCCTTCTTGGAGCATGCTGTCCTCTCTGCTGTCTTCACCTCCACTCTTACTTCCTTCTTGGAGCATGTTGTCCTCTCTGCTGTCTTCACCTCCACTCTTTCTTCCTTCTTGGAGCATGCTGTCCTCTCTGCTGTCTTCACCTCCACTCTTTCTTCCTTCTTGGAGCATGCTGTCCTCTCTGCTGTCTTCACCTCCACTCTTTCTTCCTTCTTGGAGCATGCTGTCCTCTCTGCTGTCTTCACCTCCACTCTTTCTTCCTTCTTGGAGCATGCTGTCCTCTCTGCTGTCTTCACCTCCACTCTTTCTTCCTTCTTGGAGCATGCTGTCCTCTCTGCTGTCTTCACCTCCACTCTTTCTTCCTTCTTGGAGCATGCTGTCCTCTCTGCTGTCTTCACCTCCACTCTTTCTTCCTTCTTGGAGCATGCTGTCCTCTCTGCTGTCTTCACCTCCACTCTTACTTCCTTCTTGGAGCATGCTGTCCTCTCTGCTGTCTTCACCTCCACTCTTTCTTCCTTCTTGGAGCATGCTGTCCTCTCTGCTGTCTTCACCTCCACTCTTTCTTCCTTCTTGGAGCATGCTGTCCTCTCTGCTGTCTTCACCTCCACTCTTTCTTCCTTCTTGGAGCATGCTGTCCTCTCTGCTGTCTTCCTCTCCACTCTTTCTTCCTTCTTGGAGCATGCTGTTATCACCCCTATTAACAATTATCACTTCTCTCAGCTATGTCACCCCTGTCAATAGTTATCTTTCAGTAATTATCCTCTCAGTTATTATCCATTTAGTAATTATTAACCTTCTCTGTAGTTATTCCGTCTCGGAAGATATCACCTCAGTAAATATCACCCTTTTCAGATATCACCCCTCCTCAGATATCACCCCTCCCCAGATATCACCCCTCCTCATATATCACCCCTCCTCAGATATCACCCCTTCTCAGATATCACCCCTCCTCAGATATCACCCCTCCCCAGATATCACCCCTCCTCAGATATCACCCCTCCTCAGATATCACCCCTCCTCAGATATCACCCCTCCTCAGATATCATCCCTCCTCAGATATCACCCCTCCTCAGATATCACCCCTCCCCAGATATCACCCCTCCTCAGATATCACCCCTCCTCAGATATCACCCCTCCTCAGATATCACCCCTCCTCAGATATCACCCCTCCTCAGATATCGCCCCTCCTCAGATATCACCCTTCCTCAAATATCACCCCTCCCCAGATACCACCCTCCTCAGATATCACCCCTCTTCAGATATCACCCCTCCTCAGATATCACCCCTCTTCAGATATCACCCCTCCCCAGATATCACCCCTCCTCAGATATCACCCCTCCTCAGATATCACCCCTCCCCAGATATCACCCCTCCTCAGATATCACCCCTCCTCAGATATCACCCCTCCTCAGATATCACCCCTCCCCAGATATCACCCCTCCTCAGATATCACCCTTCCTCAAATATCACCCCTCCCCAGATACCACCCCTCCTCAGATATCACCCCTCTTCAGATATCACCCCTCCTCAGATATCACCCCTCTTCAGATATCACCCCTCCCCAGATATCACCCCTCCTCAGATATCACCCCTCCTCAGATATCACCCCTCCCCAGATATCACCCCTCCTCAGATATCACCCCTCCTCAGATATCACCCCTCCTCAGATATCACCCCTCCTCAGATATCACCCCTCCTCAGATATCACCCCTCCCCAGATATCACCCCTCCTCAGATATCACCCCTCCTCAGATATCATCCCTCCTCGGATATCACCCCTCCTCAGATATCACCCCTCCTCAGATATCACCCCTCCTCAGACATCACCCCTCCCCAGATATCACCCCTCCTCAGATATCACCCCTCCTCCCTTAAACCACAGCACCCCTATTTGTTAATCCCTGCTTATGCTTCCCTCCTGCCTTATCCTCCCCATATCTATTTTTTCTTCTCCCCACCTCTCAATGCCCCCCATTAAACCCCCTTTATTTCCCTATTTATCACCCCTGCTTAGATCTTCCCTTTCTTACCCTCATGTTAGGTAACCTAACTACCTTTCATTTAGCCTATTTAACTTCTTTACTGGACCATTTCTGGACCATTCCTGGACCATTCCTTCTGTCAGTTTCCCCCACCCTTCAAACACCCCCCACCAGTTCCCCTTCCCTCACTCCTCCAACACACCCACAAATCTCCCACACTCACCCATACAACACCACCTGTGTGAGTAAGTCTCACTAGGTGGGGGTGGAATTGAGACATGTGGGGGTGGAAACGAGACAGGTGGGGTGGAAATGAGACAGGTGGGGTGGAAATGAGACAGGTGGGGGTGGAAATGAGACAGGTGGGGGTGGAAATGAGATAGATGGGGGTGAAAGACAATTGGGGTGGAAGGGAGACAAGTGGGGGCGTAAGAGAAACAGGTTGGGGGTAAGAGAGACAGATGGGGTGACGGGAGACACATGGGGGTGGAGGGGGAGACAAATGGGGGTTGAGGGAGAGGTGGGAGTCTGTCCAGCTGATAAATGGTGGATCTGTCGCGCATAAAATTGGGGGTGGGAGGCTGGTTGAGTACCGCACTATTAATCAAATGGAAGGTGGGTGGGTGTAAACGGGTGGGGTGGGTGGGTGGGTGTAAACGGGTGGGGTGGGTATAGTTGCTTGCGGTACCCACCAGCATCTTAGAACACCAACAATCAACACTAACCAGGTATCACCATCAACAATCAGGTAACACCAACAATCAGGTAAAATCAATCAGGTAAAAACAATCAGGTCACATAAACAATCAGATAACATAATCAGGTAACACCAACAATAATGTATCACCAACATCCAGGTAACACCAACAGTCAGGTAAAAATAATCAGGTAACACCAACAATCAGATAACCAGGTAACACCAACAATCATGTAACAACAATCAGATAACACCAACAATCAGATAATACCAACAATCATATAACACCAACAATCAGATAACACCAACAATCAGATAATAACAACAATCAGATAACACTAACAATCAGGTAACACCAACAATCAGATAACACCAACAATCAGATAACACCAACAATCAGATAATACCAACAATCAGATAACACCAACAATCAGATAACACCAACAATCAGATAACACCAACAATCATATAACACCAACAATCAGATAACACCAACAATCAGATAATACCAACAATCAGATGACACCAACAATCATATAATACCAACAATCAGATAACACCAACAATCATATAATACCAACAATCAGATAATACCAACAATCAGATAACACCAACAATCAGATAACACCAACAATCAGATAACACCAACAATCAGATAACACCAACAATCAGATAATACCAACAATCAGATAATACCAACAATCAGATAACA